TATATAAAGGATAAGGAGATGTAAAACAAAATTTGTAAGCATGATCTATTATCCATAATCCAAAAGAAAATGCAAAAATATGGCTTGGAACTTACGGTTGAGAAAATAAAAAAGATAATGCTGCATGAGAAATTGGGCTTTTGCATAAAAAAAAAAAGAAACTTAGGTTTTGGAAAACGTATGGCATAGGGAGGGTTTGAGAAAAAAAGGAAAAAGCGTATTTTAAGAGATTAAAGGAACAGAGACGAGATTTCTATGGAAGAAGCCGTGAGTGATAAGATTTAGTTAATTTCCGAAAGCAATTACTTAGATAAATTTTGGTAGGTTTAAGACTTAAGAGTGAGTTTATAAAGGATATTTTTGATATAAAAAGAAAAATTTTGTCATGTGACGCAGTAGTTGTGAAATCTCAAAAAATAGTGAAGAAAATTGCAAGAGTAGGTAATCTATATTCTCAATTGGGAGGGCAACTAATAAGAGATAATGGCGAGGTTAGACGATGGCGAGGTTAGACGATGGTTTTCCATTATGTAGCATCTCATTATCATCTAAATCACTTGATTGGTTTTTGCATGTTATATGAAAGAGATATATATTAGTTTTTTATAATTTAACATTGAATGTTAAATGTATAATATATCAAATTATGTGTTTGTTACTCGAAATAAATAATTAGTTTTTTTTGTTGGATGTAAAATCTCAATTTACAATCTTAAAATACTATTTTTTCGATATTGTTGTTCCGCGCAAGGCGCGGGTACCTACCTAGTTGCATATTATCCTTTAGGACCTTTACATAGGAAACAACATCACATAGGAAAGAGTAATCTATACAAAATTTCGTAACACCAATCCAAAATATGATGAGATCGTAACCGACGTAAACCACCGACACGATTGGATCAACAAGACCAAGATGGTTTATTGCATAATTATTTAAGTGTATTTTTCCTTTTCACCATTACCCCATTTTCCTAGTTTGTAGGATCCATATATAACCCTTTCTCTCGTTACTTTCTTTGTGTATTTAAAAGTCTCCAGTGTTCTAAAGAAAAGATATGAAGAAAAAATTGAAATAACTTGTTCTAAGTCCTTAAGAACCAAAGTGTTCTTGTTTTTGTCTTATTGTTTCTTGATCAACAATTGATTGGTCTTATAGGCCTCTAACACA